AAATAAGATAAAATATTTTGTTGCCAATTTTTTGTCCGTTTATAAAGGAACCTTATAACATTTAATCTTTCTTATTGATAGATACTCACGAAATACCATCAACGACTGCCGTCTGTGTAACTATCATTGGTTCAGAAGCGTATAAATTAAAACTATACTTAAGAGAATAAAAAATTATTGTGGTTTTATTGAAAGCCCAATGTTCATTAAGAAGTATATATATATATACTGTGCTGGTTTATGCTGTGCTGGATTCTTACTATTTCTAGAACCGCATCGAATCGTTTGATTGTGATAAAATCACTTTGAGATTTAATATATATATATATATATATATATATTAACTATGGTAGTTATTAGTACTAAAAGTTATTATATATTCTAAAATTAGTTTTAAACTTATTACATTTACCCTTATTAATATTATATTTTCAAAATTCAAAAAGTATTTATAATTTATAAAATAATTCATCGTTCAGGTTATCAGAAAAATTAAAAACGAAACCTAATAATAGCAATTATTGATGACATTTTTAAAGAGCTCTTGGAGTTGCCTTTCAAATTCATAAATGTTACCTGTTTTTTTTTATCTAGAAAATCAAAATGAAATTTCTCTAGAATTGTTTTAATAGGCTTATTGTTCTTTTCTGGAAGTATGCCATACTTACCTGCAAACGGTTTCCGGGTAAATTTATTCCTACTAGTAATGGAACTGAACGAGATGTAGAAGACCTAGTTCTATGGAGGTGTAGGACTAGGGTGGCCGACCCCATGTATTTGATAGTGTAAAGGGAAGATAAAGAAGAGTAATGGAACTGAACAATTTCGGGAAAGCTGACCAAGAGAATTTATCTCTGTATATAAAAATATCTTTTCCAGAAAATGGAAGTTGATTTGTAAAACCTTGATGTTTAGCTTTCACATCTGTAATTCGTGCCCATTGTGAATTGCCTAAAAGTGCCGTTAGCAAGTCAATCAGTTTGGTTTTGTCCAAGTAATATGCCAATGTGCGTTCACTGTTATAATAAAGTACAAAAAAAAACAAAGAATTCTGATTTATACTTTACCGGTCATTTTACTGAATTCTAATGTTGAATAATAAACGGTAGTACTAGTTTTGTATACAAATAATTAAACATGTAAGGTTTTTTTTTTTAAATGTATTTTTATGATTAATTATGATAGTTATAAATAAGAATTATTACAATTTTAATTTTTTTGGGATTTCAAGAAAACATATCTAATGGAAATGTACGATGTACGCGAAATCTAAATCTAAACCGTAAATTATATATTCAGACAGAAAAAATAAAAACATCATTGAAAGTACAATAACTTCTCAGCTCCGCATCGAGCGTAGATTTTTATTAAATACCGTACGAAATGAATATGACAGTAATTGCCATTTCTTCAAATGTATACATAAAGTTAATTTTGTTTCCATTTTCGAAAATGTGTTACAAGACCTACATTTTTATTGTTTTTAATAAACATATATAATGTATATTTAAACATTTGTTTCAGCACTGTTAAGCGTATGTTACTATGGTTCCGATGTGAATATTTAATTTTTAAACACGTTATCGTTATTATGTTTTTCAGAATATTATGTGAACGACAAGCATTGCAGCGACCACGATAGTTTGCATTCAAAGAGTTTTATTGTACTTCCCCAGAAGGCTATCGAGCAAATACAATGGTTTTGTTGAACTCTGCGTAAGATTAAGAATGGTAAGCAAGTACGGTTGTTACTTATTACAATTAGAGAGGAACGTGGACATCATGTCAGGTCGGTTATCTTCCTCACTGTTTTGACCATTATAATTAAAAAACATAAAAAAATAGCTAGCCAACAACTGTGCGTGTGCTGCTGTTGCTTACATTTGGTCAGCGTTATGGTCGACATTTAGTTAGAACACTTCTTTACAATATTTGCGAGGACGGAAGGGAAAGGTTGGGTTAAGGCGCAAGACCCATGACGGTTTTGTTTATAAGAAATTATCAAATTTCAGGACAGTTGGAACGATCAATGTGCTTGTGGATCCAAGTTCGGCGCAGCCTTTACGTTAATTACCGAAGCTATCAAACGCGTTATTTGTGTAGTGATCAAGATATTTATATTTATACTTACAGTAACCATAATTATATACTTTGTGTTTTTCAACAAACCCGAAGAGAAGAAAACGCGTCCCCGAGGAGGAGGTACCTGATGGTTACGTATAGGGTCATTAGCCGTGTGAAGTCATCTAATGTGTGTGCGATTTAAGTTCAAAAATGTTTGAACATTTTGTTATATTAGATTCCTTATAGGTTCACGATGACAAACAAATAACATTTTTTGTTGGACATGGGTAGGACGATTTAAAAAAAAACTGTACAAAAATGCCCAACTCAGTAATTGAACGAAGGAACAAAATTGTTTGGGATAAAAAAATTAAAAATTGTGAAAAATGTTTTTGTTCACAAAAAATTCCGTACATGTTCTTATGGTCCACATTATCTTTGAACCAATTATGATTTTTTTTTTTGCTATACATTTTTGGTTTCAAACATTTGTTGGTACACGCTGTAAACTGCCTACTCTAACAGCCACGAAACACAAAATATGTGACCGAACAAAAATATTACAATTTTATGTAATACTCGCACACAAGTTGGTCAAGTATTTATTGTGCAGCTTTATGTTGATACGACTATATGGGGTTAAATTACAGAGTTGGGGTTGTTGGATAGGCAAAACAAAAAACATTTTTTTAAACATTTTTGAACTATAGTCGCACACACATTAAGTGATTTCAAATGGAACGATCCATAATAAAAATAATATTATTTATCAAATGCTTAGATATGCCTATTTTTTAATTTAAGCAGTAGGCAATATATATATAAATTTAATAAAATACAATGTTAATTTTATACAAGGGAACAAAGGAATTCAAACAAAATTATAAAAAATTAGATATTGTAGCTGTAATTTCTCACCAAAGCCAGGCTGTTATTTTATGTGTTTTTATTTATATTTAGAAGGTAATCATTTTTAAGATTGTGTACATTATGACAAGGTATTGCCAACAGAAGTTAATAATTTTTTCTATGAGAATAATTAATTTTGTGCTGTGGTATTTGTAATTTACTTCAATAAAATTATTTTAGTTTTTTAATATTAAATGCACAAGTTTAGGGCACGTTACAGACAAATGTTACATTTTACTCTAAAGATTAAAAAAAAAATTACGTATTCGTGTGTAATATAATTTTCCTTAATAATCGCTTCTCCGACGTATCATGTTATTAAAATATAAAGAAGTAGTTTATTTAAAAAAAAATTTTGCCATTGTATGAGGCTTAAATGGGGTTGAACCATCAAGTGGCATGACATAGGGACCTAAACGTTTATATTTTATTCTTAACCTATGGTTATAATTATTATAGTTGATAAATGCTGTGATGTATGTTTTTGTTGCCTGGAGGAAAATAACAGAGGCACGAGAATGTATATTTTTCGACCGTGTGGACACGGAAGGTGTTGTGGCATTTGCATAAGGCAGCAGCTGTTGAGATGTCCGATATGTCGTACCGCTATCTATGAAATACAACAAATAATTACACTGGAGCCAAAATTTCGAAGTAAATAAATATTAACTAATTACTAATTCAATAACTACCTATTTGTAAGTATTATGTTGGTCAGATGCAACAATGGATTCCAATGGTACCTATTGCCTTGGATGTTTACGGCATAAGCAATATGTCCCAGGCGAAAAGCAGTTTATAAACATACCATGTGGCCATGGATGGTATTGCTTCAATTGTGTCGAGAATAAAACACACTGCGGTGTTTGCAGGGAACGCATTAAAGACAACGCCAACATTTTTTTAAGCTGATGTCCGTTCATTTTTACTTCAACAATTTATTTACTTAATTATTTTTTGGAAAAATTAAATTTTATGTATAAATTGTTTCAATATTTATACTATGTACTAAATTTAATGTTTGTCTACAGATTCACATTGCAGTTGTAATAGTTCATTAGACCCGTCCTCTCCCGCTCCAATATATTTCTTTCTCACTATGCCCCCCGCGCCACTGAACTGTCTTTTGTTTTATTAATGTTTTATGTTTCTTTGTTATTTATACATTATATTTGTTACATCATTATATCCATGGTAAATTCTTAATAGCTCGTTAAAGGTTGAAGCATAGTCTTTGGAAATGTATTATTAGCGATTTCACAGACGGAGGGCCACAGTATAATACTGTGGTGTACCTAGCTGTAAGTGGACGAAAAATGATAAAACACTTCCACCTGACCATAGCATACTATAAGAAATAATATCCAGCCACCAAATTGACTTGTCGGCTCTCGAATAGAGTTTTGAAAACTGAAAAACGTAAATACAAAAAGAAGAACGTGTTGATTCGTATAAATATAATTTCCTGCTTCTGTGGTAAAACTGGTAATCTAAAGACGGAACGTAGTTGATGTCCGCCAATTGAACACAATTATACAGTACAAAAAAAAAAAAATACTTATTATATGCACATTCAAATTTAATATATAATTGGCTGATAAATATCAGTTGCTTACAATAAAAACCCGTCTTAGCAATGTTAAACATAATGTGATTTCAAAAAAAACACAGCAAAAATGCACCAAAAATTAAACACAATGCTCCGAACACTTATAACACTCTGTCACGATGAACACTTTTAGCACTATAACGCGACGACTAGCGTACATAAGATCACAACTACGAGGCCGATCGAAAACGGTACAATGTTTAGATCGGGTGAAATCGATAAAATCGATCGTAACAAAAACGGATCAACCGTCCCAACATTATCACACGGATATGTTTTTCAGGAACGCCGGGTAAGATTGCAATCGGCTTAGTAACAAACTTGTTTTAATGTTCGTTCTCAATGCAAACTGCAAACTGTCAGATTTCCGGAGAACGGTGGGATACACGCAGAGCCGGCCCCGACGGCGGAGTCGCCCATGTGGTTCTTGTCCAAATATGAGATGGCGGGCGCACTGTTGGGCCGGTCTGCCAACAATTGGTGGCAAAAACAACATTGGCAGGACCAACAGCGGTACCGGAAGTGGACGTACGGAGGGGGGGCGGTGGTCGTGGTGGCCGCGACTACGTTCGCGCTGGCGCACACCGAAGAGGACCCGATAACTGGTCGCCGGAAGCTGATTCTGTTCGACCGGAAGTTGTTGAGAGAGTTGGCCGAAAAGCAGACGTCGTTGATACTGGACAGATACCGGTTCCATCTGATGTCACCGTCGGACCCGACGTACAAAGCCGTGTCGGAAGTGATGGCGAAAATATTGCGGGCCAACCAGCACCTGGCCCGGGTCAAGAACCAAGAGTGGAGTCTGGTCATACTCAACGACCCGTCGGTCAACGCGTACATGTTCCCCAACGGCACTATGTTCGTACACACCGGCGTGATACGCGAGGCCAGAAACCTGGACCAATTGGCCATCATCATCGGCCACGAAATCGCCCATTGCGTCCAGGAACACGCACTCGACCAGATCAGCCGCCGGTTTTTCGTCGAATTCCTGTGCGTGTTGATCATAACGGCGCTGAACGCGCGCCTGTCGCTGAAGCCAGCCGTGGTCGCCACCGCCCTCGCCGCGGCCGTCAAGCACTTCGTCGTACTGCTGCCGAACAGCAGGCAAATGGAGTTCGAAGCCGACAAGGTCGGCATGATGTTGTCGGCCCGGGCGTGCGTCGACGTCCGCGAAGGCGTCGCTTTCTGGTCGCTGATGGAGGCCGGCGAATCCAACGTCGAACGCAACCTCTTGTGGTGGCTGAGGACGCACCCGACTGCGCGGTCCAGGAAAATACGGCTGGATAAATTGTTGTCGGAAGCCAACCAAGTCCGTCGGAGCGTCGACTGTCCCAAATTACCGGCCGTCAAAACAAAACGATGAAGGGCTTCAATGAAACTTCAGAGAGGACGAATGTCGTATAAAATCTTTCAAATAAAAATTCGCGGCCTCTATTTGCTAATACTTTATATGAGGGCCCATCGCTCACTATTGCCGCGGCCAGACCAACGTGCGGTCGGTGACTCCGCCCATCGCAAGGCAATATCACACATAGGAGTTACCAACTACCAATCAGTTAAGACCATACCATCACCGGACCACGATCGACTTTAGTGCGCATCACGATAACTGGCACTCGATCCTAGTAGGGTTTCCAAACATTACACAAAAATAACGCGGCCAATTTGTATTTTAGCTTCTATGCAGAGCAGCGAAGGTATTGGTTCTACCATCATGTGGGCGGTTTTTGTGTCTTTAAACACTGTAACTTTTTTTGTACAGGACCAATTCGTTCGAGTAGCAACTCTATAAATCACAAATTTCATCTAGTTGGTACTGTGGGAGGATAACAGTTGAGTTTACTTCTTCACAGTCAAAATTTGAAAAAACAAAAAAAAACCATACGAGTCTTTAAGTTGGAACTTTTACTGGCTATAATTTCGGGAAAAAGAGTAGAAAAAAAGTGATTTTATCACTTTCAGATTTAAAAATTCCTGTAAATGTGTGACCTCCCCGTCCCCATTATGCTTATTTAATCGCTATTTTGGTTGCTTAAGTGCTCGCTAGATTACTTGAATACTTGGTCTCAAATAATCGAGCAATCAAGTAACCAAGCATACAAGTAAAAAATTATCAAGAAACCAAATAATCAAGATATCGAGTAAGCATAATCACTTACTTGATTACTTGATTGCTTGATAACTTGAAACCAAGCACTCAAGTAATCTAATGAGCAAACAAGCTATAATGCTTACTTAATCGCTAGCCAAAAAAAACTTAAGTAAAAAAAAAAATTCAATTTGTGTAAACTTTAAGTCAAAAGTGGTACTTAAGCACAAAACCTAATAATATCATTCTGCATGGATCTACATAACATTTTTTTAATGATTTGATCAAATTTATTTTGAGATTTTAGGTGTTTTTGTTAAAATATAGGGAAACACAGTTTTCCGGCAATTAAAAAAAACTGTAGTGCCGAATTTTTTTTCCGTTTAATGTGTTATGAATTTTTATGAGTTCTAACTACTGACAAATTTTCAATTTAAAGGTCGTAAAATTACGGCTAAAAAACTAAAAAAACAAAAAACTTGTACCGCACCGTACAGTTTTTTCATCGCAAATAGATATCACATTATATGGTTGATAGAGTAAACAGTATTTTTTTTTATACATGGAATGAATAAAAAATGGAATGAAAAATAGGGGGTTACGAATAAGGGATGTATTTAAAAATGTTCAAAATATAGTACAATATGTACCTAAAAGTATTGGAAAAAATATTGTTTGTAAAGTGTGCCAAATTACTGTGACTTTTCTTAAAAGAAATAACAGTATAATATCGTCTTAATTTTAACTATTGCCATGTTTATCATTATTTCTGTTGAGTGCTTATATCTTAAAGTCTAGAATCACGTCACGAATTTATTCATCTAAACACTTTTTTTTCAGTTTCTCCGTTTTCCTACAATGTTGATCCCAAATCTTTAAGTTGCACATCTATATCTCTTGACTAAAAATTAAGTATCACCTGCCAACCTTGCCGTTTTCTCAAAAATGTTTATACTGTTAAAATATTTGTCGACAAAATTTCTATCAAACTAAAGCAGTAAAAACGTTAATTAATGCGTCTGAATGAAAATAAGTCTGAATAAAATTTAAAAAAAGAAAAAGTGTCTTTTTTTTCCCACTTCCAACGACAGCCGAAGGGCAACACTGTATTACTACCGCATTAAAGTCGTTAAGGGTTTGACGAACAATTAAAAAACATAAATATTTGATCAGCCAAATGAATATTTTATAGAGACGCGACAAAAAGACGGCGCAGGTACCCTTATTAATAATAATTACTATGACGGCGGTAATGACACCTAGGGCGTTTTTTTCAAGCCGCTTCTAACGCTATACTTCCCGCATTGAATATGTACATAAATATTTAAATATGTACATAAGATTATGGTTTTGCTTTTAAACCGTTAAAAAAAAGGTATAATAATTCGAACGTTTTTCGGGACAACGGCGCAACAATTCATACTAAGTCTCTGCCGCTGTAGTGAAATATTCAAGGAATTTAGTATAACTCAATTAGTCCTGGCTTTTACCTTCGTCCCGTTCTCGACAGAGATTAGAAACAATGAATGCTGGCGATAAGAAAAAAACATAAATCCCCATGTACAACCAAAAATAATAGAAAAAAAACTATTAATTCATTCATTTGACATTCGCGATGAATAGTTTTTCGTATTATTATAATGTTATGGAAACTAAGAAAAATTACACCAAAACAGCGAAAAAAAATATCTCAATATAGTAAATTACTTAGTAAAGGGTAACCGCTAATATAAGTATTTATTGTAGGGATGACAAGCAGCAAGCTTTAAATGTTTTATTTATTATAAAACACAAATACCAAATAAATCCTTATGAATAGTTGATCATACTAGACTCGTTACAAGACTTTGATTATCATATTAACTATAAATAGCTGTCAATAAGGTTATTTTTTTTCCATATCGCTCGGACTGAATTGATAAATATTTATAATTTCTTATTTTTTTTTTTGTAAAAAACTTTAAAACAATACTATGTGATCAAACCACGTTGACAGTAATCCAATTTACTGTTATTATAATGTTTAATATAATATGAACAGACGTCCGATAAGTTTCAAATAATTTAGACATTTAACTACAGATGATTTTTTTTTAGAAGACAAAAATAAAAAATGATATTGTAAAGATTCTATTGCGGACTGATTGATATAAAGTTTAATAAAAAACAATTTTAATTAATTATAGCTCAAGCAGTATTGCGTACCTTTCAGCATTTTGGAATCGACAACTATTTTTCTTTTCTTGTTGAAGACAATAAACAATAAATAGGTACCACTATTAGGTATTATTAAATACTGTTGTCCATAGTCTTCCTGTCTATTAGGTGTGTTCGATTTTATTATTATTATAACGTAATAGTTAGATTTAATATTATGCCAAGGATAACGTCAGAAGCCGTCACATCAGACGAGCCTTTGTCAAGAAGCAATTTATGTGTAAATGCTCAAAATTTAATTATAAGTACCGCCGGCAAAGCGTGTTCCTGTCATATTAATTAATATGCCATTTTTTGTGGTTTACAAAATTCAAACGGTTCAGAAGAATGTCAGTAAAAATAAAAATCCTTTAACTAACCGTTATTACTAATTAGTAATTATTTTAAGACCTCTTACACACCAACATGAGAGCAAACTAGAAATAAATTATTATATAGCAATAAAAAAAAAAAATCCATGAGGCTCTTAAAAAAAATCTGATAATGCTTTCAAAGCAAAAATAGTTGCATTTATTAATTAGTAAACCTAGTAAAATTAAAATAATTAATAACATTATTCAAATTTATTTTGAGCATGCTCGTTTTTTCTCTTAAAATTATAAAGCTAAATGCAAATCTTAATGATTTGAAATTATATCGAAATACGGTTAAAAAAATTAATTTGATATTTTATTTTGAATTTAAAATAAGTTTTTGCTTTTTATTCATTCTAAAAAAAACTTGTCATCTAAAGTAACTAGCTAATTATCTTATTTACATATTCATAGTACATAGAACTATAGTAAATAGGTACTTTTAAAATTTTTTTTTCAAATTTACAATTATTGAGTTTAAGTGTAACGAGTGTAACGTATTTCAAGTAAAGCTGTGCCGGTTTCTTACTGTTAATAGAACCGATTCGAAGCGTTTGGTTGTGCTGAAATCAATCTGAGATTAAATATCATATTGCTTAATCCAACTTTATTTAACTTGAAGTCACTGATCTAGTTTTCTACCTAAAATTTTTTACTGTGCTAATTTTATTCTATACACAGGTTTGCAAAATCAAAACGTTCGCAATCACTTTCAGATTCCCTGTCCTGGTTCAACTTGTCACCTGTACTGGTTTACACCGTACTTGGTTTGTGCTATGCTTGGTTCAGACTGCGCTTAGGTTGCTCTATACGGTTTTTTTATTTTAGGCCACCGTGACTCCTTATAATTTTAATTTATGCTTACACTAATTAACCGTAGTGCCTATACTGGCGTTGCTTTGACAGACCCGTCTGGGAAGATGAGTCGACGACGGGGAAACGATAGTAATTAACGACTCGTAGCAGACAACGCGAACGGCAAAGCAAAAACGAGACCTCTGTTTGTTACGATGCCGGCAAAGTAGTAGTTATAATAATGAAAATGTTTTGACGTTAAAGCCATGACGGGCCGACAGAAAGAAATTGGTTGCTGCTGTATATTTTATCCGGACGCTCATAAATAATCAACAGGCCAAACAGAGATTATTAGTCTTGCCGGCGTGACGTCCACTCTTCATCTCTTTCTTACCAGGGCAAAAGAGTCTGTTTGCTGTACAATAATTTCAAGTCAATCGGGTCAGGTTGGTCGTTGGGCTATTTAAGCTTTATCTTTGATGATACATCCGATAAAATCTCACAGACAGCACCCCAAATGTTCTGAAGTTCATGAAGGCTTACACTCCGGCATATAAAGAAAACAGCACAAAAAATAATTTATGATAATAATACTTATAATTACAGGTACACACTAAAATTATCATAACAAAAATTTGCAAACAGTAGGTGCATAATAAACAGACAAAATAATTGTTAATATTTATCTGTAACATTTAACAAACAAACAATAACCAATTTCATAAATCAGCAAAACTGAAGCTTATAAATACTAAATAGCAAGTCACTTACGAAGCTGAACAGAACCTTGGCAAACACTTGCAACAATTCTAAAACGATAGTACTTATATAATAAATGTTTACTTAAACATTCAAGGAACACAAAAAAACAAAAACCGTTCAATAACCAATAAAAAAATTATTGTTAAG